TTTTTATAGGATAAAGATTCAAAATTCAGATTGATTCTTATTGAGGCAAGGATCCACAGACTTGCTCGCTATTACAAAGCAAAGAGGGTCCTGGCACCCAATTGGAAATAGTGAGTTTTGTTGTGAAATTAGCAGATAATATGATGTACCTGTTGGGTTAACTGACTGGTTTTTTCAAAGGGCCTAGCCAGCCAAAGCATGCATTTGCTAATCTAATTAAGTTGTTAGCTTATCGTCAAGTTGTTTTAGAAATGAAGGTCACAGTTTTTTTCCAATGCCGGATATGGCAAACATAAAATTTCTATCAGTTAATTTGCTTGAGTGAAAAGGTGCAAATCCTAGGTAAAATTCAGATGTCAGTTTGCAGTGCATAATTGGGTAGGTTGCAACGGCAATCCAATTATCAAATAAATACCACTTAAAATCATGGCATTCATTTCAATCATTTTTGACCTAGCAAGTCTGTTTTACATGTTTAGATGCAGTGGCTGCTTTTCGGAATAACTTTCATGGTTCTTCAAATGAGTACTATTTGTAAACATTGTGACATACCAGTGTCATAAATCAGCTTTTTTGCAGGGAAGTTAACTAGTAAACAAGAAATTTTGCAATAAAGATTGATTTCTTACACAGTAAAGATTTGATCATTAAGTCAAAGAATAAATTAATGCAATGTCATATGGATACTTCGTAATATTTCTTACCTCTAAGGCAGGGGCGGACACTTGGTCAAATATTGGGGGGGCAACCCTCTTGTTTTAATAAGATGACGTCACATTTCCCATTGTTTTAGAACAAAAGACCATTGTTCTCTAAAATATTGGGGGGGCGGTCGCCCCCCCCCCCCCCCCCCCCCCCCCCCCCAAGTGTCCGCCACTGCTCTAAGGTTTCTTTATTCGACATATCTTTCATTTCTCTCTTCAAATTACTTTTCAGCAAAGTTCTGTTTAGGTTGGGAAATAAATTGGTTTAAGAAACGTTTGTTAATTGTGACTTCTCGCCAATGCAATTTTTTAATTTTCTTTTCTTTTTTTTCTAGTGAATCAGCAACTGCCTCAGCTCTTGTTGCGTAAACTTGTAAAACTTCATTATTGAATGAGAATCATGTAGCAAAGTTCTGTGTCTTAATGTCTGCATTTCTTCACACAACCTCATTTGATTTAGTGGCAAGACAATTTCCTTTGAAATGCTTGTTTCCTGAAATTTCAGTGCAGTTTATGTATGCATGCAATTTGAAGTTTTCTCCACAAGACAGTGATTGTCTGATGTGAAAAAGGAATATTCAACTTATTCTTTTTATTTGGGTCATTGACACAGTATGTAAGCATTGGTATAGTTGATGGCTGGAACGCACAATGAACAAGGATACAAGGAAGGAAAAATCATTGAATGCATGCACAAGCAGCAATTGAACATCAGATACAAAGGAATTCAGATGAATTTTTGTTTCTGACTATTCATATCACAAAGATATCAGAATTACATGTAGCAATTTTAAACCGATGCCGATACGAAGAAATAGAAGTAGAAGTTTTAAATTCAAACAGAAGTGCTGTGAATTATTGGAATTTTGGGACAGTGAAATTGCAAGTAAATAAAGTTGTCAAATCTACAAAAGTTTTACGTCAAAAGAGTTATTTTGAAAGACTACCTTCACATGAGTCCTCATATGATCAAACAAGCCTGTGATTTGTCCAAAAAACAATGCCACTTTTGCTCAGAGCATGTCGAGGTGTAATTACTGAATTTGAGGATAACATCATCTTGTACAGGAGATCTGGCTGAAATTGCCATCAGGGAATACAATTCTTTTCAAAGTATAAACGAGAAAGTACAACCTGCAGATTGTCAGGTTCGACTGGTTACAAACGTTTAACAAACTACAAAACCTAAAACAAAATTCAGCATACCCGATTGACAACATACCTTACAGGATTCGAAAGGAATATTCTTTTTTTTTCTGAGATATATTACAAAAACCTTCCAACTGTACTATCAATAAAGATATATTTCATTCTGAATTAGAAAAGGACAGTGTTACAGCTGTCTTAATAGGAAGGCTGATATTCATTGCAGAAAGGAAAACTATCGAACTATCACTAGACTTGCAATCTGACTCAATAGGCCCTTTCCCAAATAGATACGTCAAAGAAAACTCATTGCAACGGGATCAGCTAAACTCCTATTGCCAATGATCTAAAGGATGATTACTATCACTTATCAATGGGTACACAGTGATCCCTTATTTATACTCACACAATATTCCTGTGCTTTTTTCGGGAAGGCTAAAGCACAAGCAGGGCATTTTATACGAAAAAATCGCTCCCTACGCTAAAGGATAAAACCGAACACGGCGACTAATCATTCCCTAAGATTATAAGAAGCCCATTATATCTAGCAGACGAAATATATCATTAATGGATCGTTTAATACTGGATAACACTTGTCAGGGGAACTGCATACCTACAGGAGATTTACAACTCGCCACTACTTCCTCGGAAGCTAAGCATAATAAAATCAACACTCAACTGGCAAGTAACCTACTGAGACTTTCAGCAGAGGTCACCTGTGTTACAAGAACAAACTAATATAATAGACACATGGTAACACGCACAAATACTACGTTCGTTAAGTAAAAATATTAAACCCATCACGGACAGCTTTCACCATGCAATGGCTCACAAGTCATGGTACATAGAGTAAAACCTACACATCCTTGACCTGTCTTTTCAATTAATTTCCATTAACTTTTAAAACAAGACAAGAAGCATTTTTCCATCACCTGACGTTTAGTACAACAGCGGCTATAGCGGGGGACACGCAATTATTATTAATCAGAATCAATCGAAATCGCTCAGCTAATCGATGGGTACACTGGGAATCTATTCCAACAATCTGCGTATAATCAACCCCACTCGCGCACCCCTCAGCTAAGCTAATAGCTATATCAGTTTAGAATAAAACCATTAAAAGCCAATCTGACTCCCGGTGTGCAGCTCAAGCGGTATAGCACCAAAGTACGCCACATCATTACATGGTAATGTCCAATAAGAAAGAATTGACAAGCCCACATTACATGTCTGAAGTAATTACATGAAAAAGTTAGGAATATGATGCTCACAATCGAAATGCGACAACCTTACGACAACTCTTACTCGAACAATCAAAAACAGCAACCTTATTGTCAAGAATCAAACTTAGACCAATTATTCTTCGTTCAAACAAAGCAGCACGGGTTGGTCTAACTTTTTCTATTAGTTCTAATCAAATCGTTAGCTTCTTATACCTAAGAATCCGCTGCAATTGTCATTACACTTGGATTCTCACGCCCACTCGTCACTGAATCAACAAGTTCTTTTCCAAGAACACCCACTATCAGCACCATTAAATCATTCAACTCATTCCATCCAGCCACCTAGAGAACCGGTCTGTTTGTAAAGAACTTTATCCCCTTATGATTCCATATCCTTATCTATGTTCTGAGGTAAGCTGCTTAAGAAGAGAGAGTTTGAATTTAGCCACCTTTGAAGCACGATCCGCAGACGGGATAAAATAACAATCAACGTATGGAAACACGACATGTCACTGTTTCTGATATAGTACTGACATATGGTTAGAACCTAGTCTAAAATGTCACTTCTCCTTTCTGGGTATATCACAGAAATATTTAAAAGGCATATACGTAAAGCCAACACCCAGCATCACACCCCCCTTCCTACGTGGCTACGAACTACATTATGTGGAGAATTATTGCAAACAAAACATTTGAATTAAAAGTGAATGGCGTCATTGGTATATAGAAGGATGGGAACCACATACCTTTATAGAGTATCCCAGAATAAATAAAAATCATATAAATAAATAAATAAATCTACACAAAGAAACGTCAATTCTACATATCAAAGAGAGATAGAGGCGGGAAGTAAGCGAAATAGCTTAGATCAATTACAATTTATCGCAAAAATTTATCCCGCATGTAGAGGCCGTCTTTTCCAGGTCTCACACGTGGGTTATCCTCGGTGTCATTCTGACTAAGTCGGAAACCTCATCGATGTATAGATACTCACCTAAATCGGCAATGGGGGCACGGATTATTAAGACAACCCTGAAGCATCTCATAATAAATCCACACAATTATAATAAAATCAAGCAATATACTCCTAGAAAATGAAGTCATAAATAAAATACATTTAGGAAATGAAAAAACAAAATACAAAACTAGCAAATAATAACCGTAACAAAACTCTCAAGCAGAACGACAAAACCCAAGAAGACTGCGGGCCAGAAGTGATATACCTCAAAAAAAAATCAAATAGCCACATCATCAATACTAATTCACTCACCAGTCACCACTGGCAAACTAGCAACCCTACCCACATAAAATACAATGCAAGAAATGCATATCCACTGGCCAAAAAAC